ATAACCACAGACACAGAGGGAATCTAGAGAATCATTATGTCATACTTCGAAAACCCCTATTCCTCAAAATTCAAAAATTTAAAGGAAATGAACAATTTTCTGGACAGATTACAGTTACCAAAGTCAAATCAAGAATAGATAAGCAACTTAAATAGACCTATAAGCCCTAAAGAAATAGAAGCAGTCATCAGATGTCTCCCAACCATAAAAACCCCAGGGCCAGATAGCTTCAGTGCAGAATTCTACCAGAAATTCAAGAAACAGGTAATATCAATTCTTCTCAAAGTATTCCACACAACACAAGTAGAAGGGTCTTGCCAAACTCTCTTTATAAGCCTTCAACAACCTTGATACCCAAACCATACAGAGACACAACTAACAAAGAGAACTAGAGACCAACTTCCCTCATGATCTTTGATGCAAATATTCTCAACAAAATACTGGCAAATTGAATCCAAGAACACATGAAAGAAATCATCCACCATGATCAAGTAGGCTTCATCTCAGGGATGCAAGGGTGGTTCAATATATGAAAATCCATCAATGTAATCCACCATATAAGCTGACTGAGGAAAAAATACCACATGATCATCTCACTAGATGCTGACAAAGCCTTTGACAAAATTCAACATCCATTCATGATAAAAAGTCTTGGAGAATCAAAGATAACAGGAACATACCTCAACATAATAAAAGAAATATACAGCAAGCCGACAGACAACATCAAATGAAATGTAGAGAAACTCAATGCAATTCCTCTAAAATCAGGGACAAGACAAGGCTGTCCACTCTCTCCATACCTCTTCAATATTGTCCTTGAAGTTCTAGCTAGAGCAATAAGACAACAAAAAGAGATCAAGGGAATACAAATCAGAAAGAAAGAAGTCAAACTCTCACTATTTGCAGATGATATGATAGTCTATATTAGTGACCCGAAAAACTCTACCAGGGAACTCCTACAGCGATAAACACCTTCAGCAAAGTGGCAGGATACAAGATTAACTCAAAAAAATCTCTAGCCCTACTATATACCGATGACACATTGGTGGAGAAAGAAATCAGAGAAACATCACCCTTTACAATTGCCACAAATAGCATAAAATACCTTGGGGTAACACTAACAATAAAGGGAAAGACAGAGGGATGATCTCCAAAATATAAAAAGAACTCAAGAAGCTAGTCTCCAAAACACAAAACAATCCAATTAAAAAGTGGGATACAGAATTAAATAGACAATTCTCAATAGAAGAATCTAAAATGGCTGAAATACACGAAAGAAAGTGTTCAACATCGAGGTTCAGGGAGCTCCTCCCTGCCTGGGCGTGTCTACTTCAAGCAGGCACAAGTCTGGGGAGATCTGGGTGAATGGTGCTTTGGACAGGAGTTGGGCAAGAGCAGGGGTCACTCACCTAGTTGTGATCAGTCGTCGGAAAGGAAAGGAAGGGTGGCCTGTACCCAGATTCAGGGAGCTCCTCAAGCAAATGGGAATCAGTCTACCACCACAAGATCCAGCAATTCCACTCTTAGATATATACCCAAAAGAAGAACATTCATAAAACAAGGACAGCTGTTCAATGATGTTCATAGCAGAACTATTTGTAATAGCCAGGCAGCCTAGATGCCCCTCACCAAAGAACAGATACAGAAAATGTGGTATATTTACACAATGGAGTACTACTCAATGTCTCCCTGTATTATGGTGTCTCCATTCTTGTTACCTTCTATTCTTCCACTAACTCAAACGTTCTGCTCCCTCATGTCCTCTGCATGCCTCCTCTTCTTCCCTTCTCATTCTACTAACTCCCTCCCTCTCTTCCCATGCTCTCAACAAAAAAATACACAAATACCCCAAAAACAATGGAATCTTGAAATTTGCAGGAAAATGGATGGAACTAGAAGAAACCACAAAAAGAAGACATGATATGTACTGACTCATATGTGGATTTTAGACATAGAGTAAAGGATTTCCAGGCTACAATCCACACTTCCAGAGAAGCTAGTAAACAAGGAGGATCATACATGATCCTCTGGAGAATGGGAAATGGTCAAGATCCCCTGAGCAAATTGAGAGCATGGGAAGAGAGGGAGGGAGTTAGTAGAATGAGAAGGGAAGAAGAGGAGGCATGCAGAGGACATGAGGGAGCAGAACGTTTGAGTTAGCAGAAGAATAGAAGGTAACAAGAATGGAGACACCATAATACAGGGAGACATTTTAGGTTACAGAGAAATCAGGGACTAGGGAAATGTTGGGGGATCTACATAGATGACACTAGCTAACAATCTAAGCAAGAAAGGAGAGGCTACCTTAAATGCCCTCCCCTGATATTGAGATTGATGACTGACTTATATGCCACCTGATAACACTCATCCAGCAGCTGGTGGAAGTAGAAGCAGCTGACACCCACAACTTTTCACTGAATTGAAATGGAATCCATGGGTCTAGACCAGGCTGGTGAAACCCACAGAAACAACTGACCTGAATATCAGGGAACTCTTGCTTCCCAGACTGATAGCTGGGATACCACCATGGGACTGATCCAGACCCCAGAAACATGGATTTCATTGAGGAAACCTCGGAAATATACAGTACCTCCTGTAGTATCCAGTACTTAGCCCTAGCATAGATGTGGACTTTGGGAGCCCATTCCACATAGAGCGATACTCCCTGAGCCAAGACACATGGGGATGAGCCTAGTCCATATCCCAAAGATATGATAGAGTCTGATGACACCGTATGGAAGGCCTCACCATCGGGGGGGGGTGAAAGGATATGTGATAGGCATGGTTTTAGTTGGAGGAGGTGGTAGGGGGAGGACCAGAGGGAGAAGGGAACTGGGATTGTCATGTAAAACAATCTTGTTTCTAATTCAAATTAAAAAATCTGAAAACCAGAAAACAAACATTTACTAGGATTGTCACATATTGACATATGCTACAGTCAAAGATGTTTATTACAAATAGTAATCACTATAACATTTCTTTCTTTTTTTTTGGTTTTTCAAGACAGGGTTTCTCTGTGGCTTTGGAGGCTGTCCTGGAACTAGCTCTTGTAGACCAGGCTGGCCTCGAACTCACAGAGATCCTCCTGCCTCTGCCTCCCAAGTGCTGGGATTAAAGGCATGTGCCACCACCGCCTGGCTTTTGTAACATTTCTTCTGGGACTTATTATGAATCAAATTCAAATGGCATGTACCCAAACTTTAGGAAGTCTTTCAAAAATGAAGGATATATAATAAAATAGTGAATATTAGAGAATAATTCATGTAGTGTAAAATTCTAAAATTGAGGAACAAACACACTAATTTCAATGATTTTGCTAATCACAAATATTAAAAGTTTGAAGTTGTTTATCACCACTTTTATTGCTGGTTCTCATTATTTCTATAATCTTCTTGAAAATTTCTGTATTCTACTCCATGATACCAAGCATCCATTTCTGCTTAAATTTCATTCTTCTATATGTTATTAAAAATGAATACAACTTTCATCTCAATGATAAACAACTGTTGTGTTCCTCACAGAGAGTGGAATGCTCATCTTGTACAATACTCATTACCATATATTTAGACTGTTACTTGTGATAATTTGCTTAGTAAATTATAGCAGACATTGCTATAATTATTCAAACCAAATACAATTAATAAAGTTAGATTATGGTTTAATATATAAATCTATAGTGTGTTGTATGTATTCCTACAATATAAACACACTCTTGATAATTGGGAAAAAGGTAAAGATAAACAAGTGTGAAATAAGTGCCAGAGATTATAGTTGTGGACCATAGAATCAAGACATGAAAATATTAAATCAATAGCAAGTAAAGTGATCATATTTATGACTTCAATAGACTTCTTAAAATTATGGCATGTGCTTCTCACAACAGCTTTCATTCTAGTACTTGACAAGGGAAATATAGTCAATATTTACAGTGACATAGTGTTGTTGTGTTTTTATTTGGCTTCCAGCTCAAAAAAATGACATGGAGACATTGACTATGAAAGCATAGCCTTGGCTTAACTTGTTTCAAGTTAGCTACTATAAGTTAAATTACCCTGTTTCTACTAATTTACTTCATGCCCTGTGGCTATATTACCACATTTCTTTGATACCCATTTTGCTTGTCTTTCATCTCCTGGCATTTCTGTCTTCTTCTTCCTAGCATACTATCTGTCAACACAGTCCTGCCTAATTATTGACCACTCAGATTTTTATTTCAACCACAGTGACACATCTTTACAATGTACCCTCTTTAACAAGTACACAAAATGTCTCCTGCAATTGGAAAGATGGATGTTATAATTGAATAACACAAAATGTTACAGAAAAACTCTACTGTCATTGCCATTAAAAAGGAATCTGACTGCACATGGGCTCAAAAGAAACAAAATCAAATAAAAAGCATTAAACTAGAAAAATAAAGGATCTTTATGTTTCTATGCTTGATTTCAGCTGCAAGAGTCATGCAGCAGAGCAGGCTTGAAATGATGACATAAACAACACTTGAATAAAATTGCAGTATTCTACTAAGAAATGTACCCATGATACAGAGAAGAAATATCAAAGACCTCTCTTCACTTTAATTGGGCATTCCATCATAAAGGAAGAAACACTAACACAACTCTGATAGAGGAATTTACTCAGTCTTAAAGAAATGGACTCATCTCACTGCTTTGTGTTATGATTCTCAGGAATATCATTTGGCAACATGCAATGGGAATTGCAACTTTTAAAGAAATCCCTTTAGAAAAAGTATAGACAGGGTGTCTCTCTCAGCTTCCATCCTGAAATATCTGATCCTAAAACTATGAGCCAGATAATCATGAAATCACCTGGAACAGAGAAATAACCAGCATAAAACAAGAAATTTTGGTTATGTCCTGGATAGTAAGGTAGGGCAACAGAGACAGAAGAGAAGGAGAATGACATTTTGCTTATACATATGTCTTTTATTATTTGGATTGATGATGAATTAAAAAAACAAATAAATGAAGGACACTTACTTCTTATCTAGATTACTGGGGAAAATTTCATTCTTCATGTGACCATGATTTGTATAAATAGAAAACAAACAATCAGTATCTTTATCTTGACCCCAGATATCTATATCGTTTCTTCTCAGAAAGCACCTGGTACCTGTCAAACTCCAAAATAGAAAGGAAAGCCTCAGGACCAAGAAGAAAAATTTCAAGTAGACCATCTTCATAATGTCACCAAGATGGAAACCAAGGTAAATGTGCACAAAGCAATGTTTCACAGAAAACCACATTTCAAATGTTCCTGTACACATATATGTATCTCTTTTATTGCACTTTATTTTAGAAGGGCATTTATGCTTCCCAATATATTTCTTCTCAGCTTATTGCTCTCTGGAGAACTGTGAAGCATTCTCAGGCTTCAGGGAGTGCATCAGAGGTATTATGCTCAGGTGCATGAAAATTTCAATGATTTGTTTAAATAATTATCTTCATTTCCACATTCATGTGATTACATCCACATTAGTGGAGGTGAAGGCCCCAGGCTTGATTACTCCTGAGATAGCTATGTAACCATCCCAACACAAAAAGTCTCTTTAATTGTCAACATGTGAAATACTTGAGGCATATTGCATTAGCCATTCCAAACCAAGTTTTATATGTTATTATCAGATGCAACCCATTGCAGACAGAGTATATCATAGACATACAAGTAGATTTCTCGTCATGTTTATGGTATGGAATGCATTATCACCTATTTTGTTTCCTAACTTGCACATGACATGCAATTTGAAACACAAACACATTGATGCATGCATGCACCTGTGTGCACGCATGCATACACACACACACACACACACACACACACACACACACACACACACACACACACACTAACATGGCCACAGGCAGCACAAAGTCTCCAAGAGTTGCAGGGATTAGAGAACACATAATCATATCATAAAAGTGTAAATGCCTATTTGTATCTCAATATCAATACAGAAACTGATATGATTTTGATAGTTCTATTTATGGCCTTGGCTTCAGTTCCAACTAATTGACATCTTACCTTATCTATTCTTTGAATAATCTTCTATCCCTAATTTACTCCCTATTTTTTCATAACTTTCATATGACTAAAATTGTACAGAGCTGGGTTTCTTTTATTTTCCTTATTTATTTCATTGGTTTATTCATTGGCATATACTTTGCATAATATTTTCCTTTTATTGAAAATAAATCCTTTTCTCACAAAATATATCCTGATTATGGTTTCCCCAGCATCAACTCCTCTAATCTCATTCCACAAAACCTTGTAACCAGATGTGCTCTGTTTCTGTTTCTGGTTAGAAAAGAGTCTTTAAAGCATTATAATATAAGAAAATGTAACTTAATAAGATCAAACTAAAACCAACACATAGAAACTAAATGTAGAAAAGGAAGAAAAATAGCACATGGGAAGGTACATGAATTAGAAATCTCTCGTTCAAGGTCACAGAATCTGATAAAATTACTAAATTGCAATCCATAATATGTACAAAGGAAATGTAGCATAAATATAGAGAAAAATCAAATAAATACTTAGTAAAAGAAAGAGAAAAAGAATATGATTGCCATAGAATACCCTAGTCAGGTATGTTAGTCCCTGGGATGAGGGTCCTCGAAGAATAGGTGGGTAAGGATTCAGTGGTGAAAAACAGAAAGAAACACAGAGCCAGTTTGAATCTGAGTGTGTTTTGCAGTTCTCAAACAAGGATTTTTGTAGAGATATTTTTAAGGGTTGTTTTGTTTAACAAACCCAAACATATGACATTATTGTTACTTGACACAGTGACATGGAATTCCAAAATATAGAGCCATCCAGGGTTAATCAAAACACAAAATTGTCCTTGATTAGTCAAAACATAAGACCATCCTTGACTAACATAGTATCATCCGAGGCTAACCACATATTTCTTAAATCAAATTAATATACTTTTATGGTCAGTTATTATTTAACATCTATTACCTAGTTCTTGTGAGTTTTTGAAGTATGGAGCTATTTTAACTCTTTCTTATTAAAAGCTTTCATTTCTGGGCATTGGTGGCATACGCCTTTATTCCCAGCACTCGGGAGGCAGAGGCAGGCGGATCTCTGTGAGTTCAAGGCCAGCCTGGTCTACAGAGCAAGTGCCAGGATAGGCTCCAAAGCTACACAGAGAAACCCTCTCTCAAAAAAAACAAAAACAAAAAAAAGCTTTCATAACCAGACACTTAAGCCCACTTTCAATGACACCTGTACAGCCATATGAAATTTTATTTGGGGGAAAGTTTTTTCTGTTTGTACTTATGTGAATAATGTGAATGATTTAGAAAGTGCTGGCTTTTCCTGAGATGAGGTCATGGCTAGTACCCCCATCTCAGGGGATGTTTTCTTATCTATTTATTTCTTTTGTTTAAAATGTCAGCATAGGCTTTTAATAACATTTTGTTAATGTGCAAAAAAAAAAAAGGAATAGAAGAACAAACTGAATTTGCCATGAGAATCACAGTCCAATATTTACCTCTGGATGAGAGTTTCACATCCATTTCCAGGAGACCTCCTTCTTTTGAAGTTATTGCCTCTGTTTGTGGAACTTATCACACAGAATCTACTGGATTTGGTGTGGCATCTCTACCTTTCCTTTTTTACTTTTAACTGAAGCTTGTAGATATCTCATTTGGCTGTAGAGATGGAGGAAAAGACTAATCAAAAGAATAGGAAAGTAAGGAGAAGAAGAAGAAATATTCCTGAAGCCACAGTGACAATACTAATCCATTGTAGCCAATTAACATGGTTTAAAGACCTCAAACCAAATCTTATATACTGAGCCAAATTTTCTAATCCAGTAGATTTCATATGTGCTTTACTCATAGCAGAGATTTGTGTTAGTAATTGAGCTATATCATGAGCAATATTGTTATTTTTCCAAATTCCCAACAAATCACTTTAATTAGATTCCAATTATGAATCTCATTATAAGGTAATGCTGTTATTCATATGTAATAAAAGTTGGTGTGCAATTGGTAGAAAGCTGAACTTTAATATTTTTCACCACTTGTCCTAGTTTTAAAACGACATCTTCTAGAGCATCAAGTTTTGCTTCTAATTTTTGGTATACAATTTGTTGCCTTGTGAGTATTAAAGAGACATTTTTATTTAAATCATTTACAAGATGTGCAGTTTTCATGTCTCAGACTAGGGTTACTGTTGATCCTGTAAGTGAAGTAAGGGTGGCTATTAAAGCACCAATGCCTAAAGCTAAAGCTGCTACAAAACGCTTTGGTCTAATTAATTCATTAACTCTTTTTAGGATTTGTAAGGCTACATTATCAAACCAAGCATCATTTTGTAAATCTTCAGGAAGCATAAAGTAGGGAGGTCTTCTTTTTTGTTAGGGTCCTCCTTGTTTACTAGTTTCTCTGGCGTTGTGTATTGTAGGCTGGTAATCCCTTACTCTATGTTTAAAATCCACATATGAGTGAGTACATATCATGTTTGTCTTTTTCAGATTGTTTTCTTCGAGTTCCATCCATTTTCCTGCAAATTTCAAGATTCCATTTTTTTTTTTTTTTTTTCTGCAGAGTAGTATTCCATTGTGGAAATGTGCCACATTTTCTCTATCCATTCTTTGGTTGATGGGCATCTAGGCTGCTTCCAGTTTCTCGATATTACAAATAGTGCTGCTACGAACATCATTGAACAGATGTCTTTGTTTATAGGAAAATAACTGAATAATCTTTTATTGACATCAGCTCAGAACATTTGGTTAAAGTATGTTTGGAACAACTGACTTGATGGAATCATTGTACTTTAGTAATTGTTAAATCTGATGCCTGTCTAGCAATGAGTATGCCAAAAGGATACTTTAGACAAGCTCCAATTGCCACAGGATTGCTCATAGATTCCCTAGGTCTCTTTAAATAAAACATGTTAGTTGCTGCAAAAAGTCTACATAATTCTGGAAAAGCATTTGAATCATTGTATAATGAAGAGTGACTAACATAAATAGGTTCTACTCATCCTGTAGTGTACTATCTGTGAGCAGGCTCATTTGTAAATGTATGCTCATGTCCATAAGTCTCCATTAAGTGTCCCCTGTAACCATAAAATGGTCCCTCCATAGAATAGTTATACATTTTTTTCTTGAGTTTACCATGGATCATGTACTGAAGCCCATCTGCAAATCCACATTTAAGCCATTTTGGACTTTCATTTTGAAGTGAGGATGCCCACAATCGGTGTTTATCCCGATATTCTTGCATATATTATTTAAGGACATAGTTTCTTTTGATCTAACAATAGTTTCATTATAATTCTGATGCCCCAATATCTTTATTGCAATCTCCCACATTAGCTTTCTTTGAGCAGGAGGCAGTTTGTCTGTAACCATTCCATCTTGAGAGTCAGAAAGAAAAGTTCTATAATTAATGGGAAGGTACCCTGGGGAGGATGTTCCCTTTAATGTAACACAAATTGGAGCTGAGTCTGACATTCCCTCATATTTGGTTACAGAGGAAGTCAGATGAGAGGAAGAATCAGGATATCTTCTTAACAACTCAGTGTTATTATTCATGACCTTGATATATACCTTATCTCCCCAACCCATGGGATGAAGGAGTGGAGGATGGGGATGTGAACCCAAAACGAGATTGCAGACACACTGTACCTGCATAGCAACCAAAGCAAGCATGGCAAGAAACATATTCTCTGCCAATGTTGTTTTCCTACTATCAGAAACCTCACCCTGTGCTCTCTGGGTGAGTTTCTTCAGAGAAACTCACCAAGTGGGTGATCTGTCCTTGTGATGGATGACAAAGCAGGGGGAGGCTAGAAAGCCTATGGATGACAGAGAACAAGCTTCTTCATTCCCGTATTACTGCTCCTTTTTCGTTTTCTTCTTTTCTGGGTTCTCGATAGAGGTTTTTTTTTTGGGGAAGGTTCGAATAAGTCTGTCTGGAATCCAGACTGGGGTTTCTGCATTCCGTGGAAAAAAACAAGCATACCCTCTTCCTGAGGTGATTAAAACTTCTGGCCCTTTCCTGGTGCCAGTTAAAAGATCCTTCCACGTCACTAGTGGAGTAACAGTCTGCTGTAAAGGGGCCCTATGTTTTTGCATAGGAGTTAAACCTTTATCATCTGCATTAAGGGGATTAATGGTAAATAAAGCTTAGCTTAATACTTGATGAGGTGAATAGTAAAGAC